CTTCTCCTCTCAAACCCCAGGTCCCACCCCCAGCCTCTGCCCCTCCCCCTTCAGTAGCCCCGCCCTTGCAGCCCCACGTGGCATTGCCTGGGCTGGCCCAGGCCCCGCCCCCTAGCCCTGGGGGCCACGCTCAGCTGCAGGCTTTGCACCCAGGGTTGGAGGCTCCTCAACAGCTGGTCCCTGCTCTCCTGCCCCGCCCCCCCCGCCGTAAAACATCTGCACTGCCCGGTCCGCATAGCCCAGTGCAGGGGTTGGTCCCCCAAAGAACTCAGAGTCACCTGGTATTGCTCAATGCCGCGCAACCCGGGGCTTAGCTCCCCTTGAAATGCTACAGCGGGGCCGCTGCGTGACCACCACCCACATCGCCAGGAGGGGGTCTCCCGGCCGCCCCCCGGAGAGGCGGTACCTGGGCCAATGGGAGAATTCTTCTGCCACACCACGGCGCTGGTCAGTTTAACTACAGCGCTCAGGGGTGTGGACTTTGCACCCCGCTGAGCGACGTAGCTGGGTCGATCTCACATTTTAGTGTAGACCAGGCCTATATCTCTACAAATGCACTGGAGAGATACACTGGGCTGGAGCCTGATTAGGGCCTCTGGGCACTACCCAGTGGGTTGTAGCCCACGAAAGCTTATGCTCTAATAAATTTGTTAGTCTCTAAGGTGCCACAAGTACTCCTGTTCTTTTTGCGGATACAGACTAACACAGCTGCCACTCTGAAACCTACCAATAATATGTTATCCTGAGAAAGAAACTGTAACCTCCTTAATAACCCCATTACTGCAAGCTAGGGGACTGGCATGAGATGAATAGCCACTGGAACATGCTTCTGTTCCAGAGCACTAAGGACCAGAGCAGTTTCATAGCTAACAAAATTTATCATAGAAATGTAGGGCTACAAGGGACCGTTAGAGGTCATCAAGTCCAGCCTCCTGCAGTGGGGCAGGACTAAGCCAACCTAGACCACCCCTGACAGGCGGATGCACTTCTATAGCCCGCTTTACCCTTAGTGCTAAACACCAGATTTTAAAAAGCTATTTAGGCACCTAACTACCATTGCAGTGTTGTACTGAACAGTAGACCAACCCCTGTATGACAAAATGCTTCAGTGACCTGTCAGCATTCCTTTGGCTTCAATGAAACCACTCCCACCTTGAAGGTAACTGATTGTTGTATCAACAGGGCTTTATTTTTAAAGTGGAAACCTCTTTACCAAGCTGCTGCTGCACCCTCTGTAACTCTCACTCTGCCTCCTCAACTCCTTCCTGTTTCCTGGCCTTTCAGACTCCCAACAGCCAGTGCTCCCAGTTCTAATAATCACAAGCAACAGCTAAACACCACACTGATCATACAAGCTCCCACCCCTGAGAACTTTCTCCCACAGTCATGTTCAAGAAACAGAAAAGTTGGATCGCTTGGCCAGAGGGTCCTTTTTGTAACCTATGCAGGTGCTGCTGGCTGAAAGGGGCTATAGCAGGACAAAGTATTTCTACCAAGCAAACGTGTACCGGGAGTGGAGGAAAGCTCTAAGCATTTTCAGCTACCAACTGTGAGAAAGATGCCAAAGTTGTTATGTAGGTTTAGAGCTACTGTTTATACCACAGAGCACCAGTTTGGGGGTGGGGAGGGGGAGGAGAATGCTGCCCTCTGCTAAGCAGGCCTTCCCACACCTGGCAACGTTTGAGAAGTAGAAATAAGGACACTTGGGAAGACAAACATTGGCACCTTGCTCCTTTAAATACATGAGGCTAGAAGAGCAGAGCAGGGGGGAAAGGTCCAGAGCAGAGCCAGGCCTAGAACCCACTTGGGCTGATTTATTTTCTGTTGCACCAACCACTGCACCCACTGGCCCAACTTCTGTCATGTGGGTTAAATCTAGAGTGATGGCCATGACCTCTCTGGAGTTACACTAGGTTCACGCTGGGGTAACTGAGAAAGGATGTTAGCCCACTGCCTAGATAGAGTGTAAAGTGCAGTGTGTGCGGTACATTGTGTACAGCATCGTGCACAGGATGGAGCCACCCGGCATCTTTAATAAGGAACATTTCCGTGGCAATGAGAACCTGGAGCCTGCAGCCGCCAATTCACGGACACCCGCACAGCGATTCTAGTCTCCCCTCCCGCCACGTCCATCAGTCTTCCAGAGCTCCCCTTCCTGTACCCTCCCAGCCAACCCGACACACCCAAATCCCCTGTCCCACCACCCAATCTCTCCCAGGTCCCCTTTCCACACACCCCTTCTCCTAGACCCATCCTCCACCCAGACACATGCCCTCTTGCACAAGGCAAATGCTGGCGTTCATCACCCCTCTCACACCCTTCCCCCACCCCAATCCTCCAACCTCTTTGCCCTTCACGAAGCTATTGGGCCAAGTTCATCCCTGGTACAGTCAGAGGCTTCATGTTGGGGCTGATGCGATCCAAGCAGCATAAACGGTCTAACTGAAGGTGCTCTCCGTGCAGTTACCCCTGGTGGAGGTCAATAGAGCATTGCTCACTGGGGCCCCTTCCTGGTGCATATTAATGATTAGAGCCTTTCGTTATGTCTGGCCACGCACTAGGCCCAGAGCAGAACGAGGGGCAACGTTAATCTGTAACCAGGGGGCGTGGGAATGGGGGTCACTTAACATTTAATCAACAGGCTTGAAATGTTAGGAAGGAAATGTGTTCGCGACAGAGGATTTCCAAAGTCAAGGTGATGCGGACAGTAGAACCATAACCAACAGCTTCACCTGGGCTCCAGCAGCCTCCAGCCCGGCCCGAGAGCGCCCTGGAGACGAGTGACGACTTTCTCCTTTCCGCTCCAGGCTGGGTGCACTCCAGAAAACGCCTTCCCGATTGCACAGCGTCTCTGCCCGACTCTGCATCCCAGCCCGAGGGAGCCCCCTTGAAGAGACTAAGAGACCAGGGCCCTTTCTCATCAGACCATGGCAACTGGCTCCATGGTGCTTGGACTGGTGGTGGCTCCCATGGGATGGGTCTTGCTGCTGGCAGCCACGGTGACCCCGCAGTGGAGAGAATTCTCCAGGCGGCCCGGCTTCCCGTGGGACGTTTCCTTCAGCGACGGTCTGTGGGAAAGCTGCGTGGAGGTGATCAGCGTGCCGGGCAGGGTGTGCCAAGCCATCCCCCAGGAGACTGCCATCTCCTGGCCCATGCAGATGCTGAGAGCACTCACTGTCATCTCAGTGATTACAGGGGTCCTGAGCTACTCTCTAGCCCATGTGGGGGTACACTGGTGGACAGACCAGCCCAACCCCAAGCTTACGGGAACTGCTGGACTCCTGCTGGTTCTCTCTGGAGTCATGTATCTATGTGCCACATCCTACATGGCTTACAAAGTCCTAGAGAACATGGCCAACCCCCAGACCCCCGCGGGGGACAAGTTCTGGCTTGGGACCTGTCTCTACCTTGGCTGGAGCGGCGGAGTAGCTGAGATCTTGGCTGGGATCTGCCTGGCCGTCAATTTCCAAAGGAAGCAGGAAAGCAGCCCAGGGAATGTGGCTGCTCCTTATGAGGTGGATTACTGAGGAGGGGCTACCAGGCCAGCGCTGGGAGAGGAAACTGAGGGAGTTGGGGACTCTTCTCTGGGGGACTACAACTGTCTTTTCCTTGTGCACTGAGTCCACGTGGGTCTCCTGCTGTACCTGCTTGAGCATGACTGTGCCTTTACCTTGCTGCGCTAGGATCAAGCTGCGCATCTTCAACCCCGCAGGACTGGCATTGCTGGTAACAGGGATGTACAGGCCGGCCAGGCAGGGAAAATCACCCCCCTCAATCAAGCCAATTTTAAAGATGGGCTGACAATCGTTTCCCTAATGAGGTGTCTCAGGGGCCCTGCCAGCTTTGGGGTTTTACCAGCCTGTAGGTTTGTCTTCCTGATGCTACTTGAAACCCCCCCACCCCCACGCCAACTCAGGGGAAGGGGCTGAGGGAGGGTGAAGCAGAAGGGGAGTGCACGCTTCCAACTGTGTCACATCTGTAAGGGGCGGGGGCAGCATCGTGAGGGCAGCCCTGGGGGGAGCTGGGGTGGAGAACTGGCAGTGGAGGCTGGCCCAGAGGTGATCCAGCTGAGGCACATCGATAAGGGAAGAGCACAGCTGGCAGCGGAGTCGGGACTCTCCAAGCACAGATTTGATAGGGGTGGGATGGTGCCTGCTGCTGCTGGGGGAGGGTGGGAAGGAGACATGCAAATACTTCCAGCCCTCAGGCAGAAGCCAGCAGTGCTCAGCTGCTCTCCCTGGGCTATGGGGCTCTGCTCTCTGGTCTGGGGCCCTGGAAGTGCTCAGATAACACAGCACATGATGACATCACCCACCTCCAGAACACCCTTATCCCTCAGGGCAGGAGAGGCCAGCCCCTGAAGCGAGATGAAGGCAAGGAAAGAGGGATGGAGAAAGACTATTGCACAGAGGGGTTTGGTGAGACTCAGGGCCAAAGTGGGGGGTGGGATCCTGTCTCTCTGGAGCCAGCTACTCCCTGCATTTTAGAGACAGGCTGCTATTCCGAAACTTAAAATCCAAGAAAAGGAGGCAAAGCTGGACCTGTCATCAACACAGTTTTATTCATGCCCCAAGAAAACCAACCTTGCCTGCTTCAAACAACCCCGTCTATTCCAGCTATAAGTGGCCAGATGCAGAGAGATTGAGGATGGAACAGAGAAGTGGGTTTGATCATACATAAAACCTAATCCTCCCCGTATACAAATCCGGCAGGGGAGAGTGCTTAGAAAAATAAAACAGCTTTGACAATAGAAAAAAAAAAATGTAACAATGGCTGCTTTCCTTTCCCCGAAGCTCGAAAGGGATGGAGGGATTTCCCCCCTCCCAACAGGAAGGAGGCCCCAAGCCTGTAGCCAAGCTGAGACTGGAGGTACTGAATTAGAGAGGGGGCGAGGAAGGGAAAGCTGGGGCAGCAGAACCAAGCAGCGAGGGTGGTAACTTTAGGGTGAAGGCAAGCTCAGGCACCAAAGCCTATTGAAAGCAATAGGAAAACTCTCACTAAGCTTCGAATTGGACTCCAGGCCTGGCAGCTGCTGACGATGATGAGATGATGGAGGCTCAACCTTCTCCTGCCCTAAGCAGCCAAGGAAATGCCCTGCGAACTCACTGCCGTTAGCCAAAGGCAGCTTCTGGTTCCCATGTAGGGGGACAGGGTGGGTACATTTCATTGGAGCAAACCTTGGTTCCTAGAAGAGTCGAGGTTAGCTAAAACAGGCCCTGAACTGATTTGTCAGCAAAGGACGGGGACTTGGGATCAGGCACTTGCAAAACAAAAAATAAAAATGGACAGTTAAAATGCTAGGAAACAGCTGGATATTTTAGTTAAAATTACTGGCAGGGCTGCAGCGAGCCAGCTGGTGTCAGCCTGTCCATGCTGCATCAGGAGTGAGCCCCCCAGCCCGCCTCCTCAGACTTGTGTTAGCCCTGCAACAATAGCTGTGGAGACACTGCGGCTCGGGCTGGTGCTTGGGCTCTGACAACTGGGGGATGAAGGGGGGTGGGTGGGCACGAGAGCCCAAGTCACAACGTTAAAGCAACATCTACCCGGCCAGTTTTAGAGCGGTAGCGTGAGCCCTGCTAGCACACGTCTGGGGAGATCAGCGGGGAGGCTTGCTTTCCAATGCAGTGTAGACAGGTCCTGGATGTTTAAACAGAACAAAGCAGAGCTCACTCAACAACACATCCATCCAGCGAGGGGAGCTGGATCAGATCTTTACCCTGGCTAACCAGCCTACATCTGTAACAAGGCCTTGCCGCAGAGGATCTCAAAGAGCTTTGGCCACGTGAATTAATGAAACTACACAGCAGCTTTATGAGGCAGATCAGTCTTATCCCCTTTTAAATATAGGGAAACTAAGGCAATCACCCGAGGTCACACTCGGGAGTTAGCAGCAGAGCAGAGAATGGCACTGGAGTCCAACTCTGTCCACTAGCAAACACTGTAACACAGAATTATTTGTACATATATGAAAACCAGCCTCTCTCTTTATCAAATGAATATCTACCACCGCAAGCAGAGCCAGAGGGGGCCAGGCAGCACTTCTATCCATAAAAGATCTTCCATCACACGGGTTCTTGGTTCTGATCGGGCTCTGGATGGATGTCGAGTGATGAGAAATGCCAAGGCATCAACATGTTGAATATCCCAATCTCAGAATTATCCCCAGAGGGACCGTCCTGGCCTCACAGCGCTGGGTTCAGTTACTCAGTGAAGTATTTTGATGCATATTCATTAAGCATCACTGGGAAATGGAAACAGCAGCTCTTTTAAAACAAGCAAGACTCTCTAGACCCAAGCGAGGATCCATTCTGAGAACTCCTCCCTCGTCCTCAGAATGACAAGGCTTTGTCAAAAGTGGTTCCCTACATAAAATCCTGCTCTCAGGGGAGAACCTTAAACGGTGTCTTTAAAAATGCAGCCCACTTTCCAGTTAAATTGACGCGCTGCGTGTTGTGAGCGAGCACCATTCCTCCTTGCTCTCAGAGCATCGCGTTTCTTACTGGGACAGAGACGACAGGAATCTCTCTCCGGAATGAGAGAGGGACGTGTTATTCTCTGCACTGAGGTTTATGAAGGGAATGTTATTGCCCAGGATCTGCCCCGTTTCCATGTGTTATGGCATCGCACCGGCAGCTTCCTGTGGACTGGATTCAGCGCCAAGTTCTGCTTCGAGACCTTCAGCCTGGCTGGGCCTGGGCGCCCACCACTGGTGGATTTCCTGGTATAACTCCTGATGCTCTTCTTTCCAGTGTCTGAATTTCTCCGAGGTCAGTTCCGAGTCGTTCAGGAGCTGATCGAGGATCTGGAGCTCAGCCACCTTCGCCTGCAAAAGGAAAAGAACATTCTCAGTGCTCGTGCGTCAGAGGGCATTACACGGCGAGAGGGCTTGAACGTTTCACCTACTTTGAGCGTGCTTTGCAGGGCCCGGACCAGGTGAACTCTCTCGTTGATCTGGGGGTTCTTGTTGCGCTTGATGAAGGATTTGCGGTACTGCTCGTGGGTCAGGAGCTGGCGCGTGCCGATGAGAGACACCCCGCCTTGCTTCAGACACTGAATCAGGGACTCCAGTTCTTCGCCAGGGGAGTCTGCATGGGAGGGTGGGGGCGGGGGGAAAACAGCAGATAGAGTTAGAGTGGGGCCGGAACAGCCTCTGTGCCAGGGCGATGGGCTTGAGGGGAGTAGGTGGTGCCTGCTGCCAGGATGGCCCCAAGCAGATCAGGCCCCAGCACTACAGGCAGTTCAGGAGCCTGGTACTCTGTGGTCAGGAGGGTTATGAGAACTTCCACAGAAGGCGCCGGAAAAATACGACAGGCCCCAGACACAGCGGCTAGCTCAGGGAATGGCATGTTGGTGCCACAACAGAAGCTATGGCCCTTTGGACATTCTGACACCAATCGTACTGGGACACACCAGAGCAGATCCCGGGGGAGGCTGAACAGAAAGGGGATGGGGGGGGGGGGGGGGAGAAATCTCAGGAGATTCTTCACAACGAAGGAGAAGCCCTGCCCCCCCCCCCACCCCCATCCAATGCCCACCTGCCGCAGAAAGGACCCGCTTGTGTAACACAGCCCCCCTGGGCCGCTGGAGCCCGCTCTGCTTGAGCAAGAAAACCACCTTGGTGAGCAGAGGATCATTAACTGCTATACCTGGATCAGTCACCAGAGGGCCCCACTGAGCGCAGGTGATGCTCAGCGGCCCAAATCCAGGCTGCTCTCAGAGCAGCAGCGCTAGCACTTACCCAGGGGCGAGCAGGGCCTGCCACTGCCAGGGACGGGGCTCCCCAGGGGGCTCCCCACTGGGCCCGTGGAGTCGGGGCTCCCCATTGCAGCACCGGGCTGGGCTCTCTCCAGAGTGGTTAGCAGCTCCCTTCTCTTTGGCAGCTGAGGAAGAACATTTCTGTTTAGAGACCTCCCCCAACACCAAGGAATCCCAGCTCCCGAGGAGGTTGGGAAGAGCCACAATCCTCTCGCCCTTTGCCAAGCTGCGTTTGACACCCGCGACGCAGCACCGCCCGCCAGCATCCGCAAAGGGAGGGCCAAGAGCTGATCCCAGGTCCCATCACACAGGGCCAGGGCTCTCCCCAGCTGGTCTGTAGGATCCGCCCTCCTCCCCGATGACACTCACCAGCTCAGAGCCAGGCCTGGGAGCGTCGTCGTCAGGATCTTCAGCTTCCGTCTCACTGTAGCAGTCTGGCAGGAGAAGCACAGAGGGGACTATCAGCGGGAAAGCCCGGACCTGCCACGGACCTTCGCTCCCACACAGCACACGTTGCCCTTCTCCAGCTCTTCTATCCAAGGATCTCACAGCACTTTAGTGAGAAGAAGGGGCCCAGCCTACCAGCTGGGGATGATCCTCACAGAGTGGGAAGGTGGGGCAAGGCCTCTTGGTCCCCGAGCTGGTCATCTAACCATTACAGCTCACTGCCTCTTGTCACCCAACGTCGCTCCAGCCCGGCTGCCGCTTGTTGACTGAGGATTCATGGCTCAGCAAGAGGATTGTCATCTTCACCCCCTCCCCATCATACAGCACAGCAAGCTCCTCCCAGGCCAGCAAAGGAAAGACCGGGAGCTGGAACGGAGCCTGGCTTGCCCACATCTTTGGATTCTTGGTCTTAAGGGGGGGGTGCCTGCAGTCAGTGCAGAGCGGGACCCTTTTCTTTGACCCCTCTACTCCAAACTCACCACCTTTTTCAGAGGTGTCCCTCATTTCGTCTCAAAGGTCCTACGCTGCACACAGAGTTGGGGTCCCCTCGCTTTTGTCAAAAGGCACGTGCATCGGCAAGCACTGCGCTGAGGTTACAAACGTCCCAATGCCAGCGGGATGGATCCCGCCACATTTCAGGTCTCCCACGTGAATCGCTCGTGCGTGCCCCTCTCGGTCACCGTGCAGTTGGGCCTTCACCAGCGGAGCACAGGACGCTGGAGAAGAGACGCTCTGTGCCACAGGGCCCACGGACTTTCCTCTCTCCCCCTAGTGAGGGCTACTGGTCTCCAAGATCCAAGAGCTTTGGTTCCCCACCAGTATTTAACATGTCTATGTGCACCTGTGTGTGTGTGTGTGTGTGTGTGTGTGTGTGTGTGTGGGTGGGTGGGTGGGTGGGTGGGGGGGGAGGGGAGAAGAGATGGACGGACAGACAGACAGTGGGGGGGTCACAGACCCAGCCAATTAAAATGAGAGCATTGTCCTGAGGGGTGCACTTTAAGCATTGTCATCCTGAAGTGGCTGATCCCAGATTACGAGAGACACCCCCCCACTTTTCAGACCACTTGCAGCATTGCCCCCCCCCCCCCCCAGCTAACTATCCCGCCCCAGTTTACGTAGATATGGGAGTGGAGCCCGCTGGAGTCAGGAGGATGCTGGGAGAGGCTCATCCAGTCACCCTGTAGGGACGCGGCATGTAATAGCTGGTTCGCAAGGTGCCTGGTTCCTACCTTCTTCTCTGGGCGGGAGCGATTCCTGGGCCAGCTTGTATTTGGTTTTTGCAGCGATCAAACCACTCACCCACCTGGGAAGACAAAAACAGATCACGTACAGTCACCAAAGAGATCCTCTCGCAGGTTCCCAGGCACTTCCCCTTCCATCACACGAACCACCTCACGCGTGGGGAAAGCCATCTCAGACCAATGCTTTTCGGAATCAGAGATCCAGCCCTCTTCCACAGCCACCTCCCTTCCCGGCAGCCCAAACCCTCGGGGTGGGTTCCACAAATCACAGTCTGAGAACCACTGTCTTCACTGAATCGTACCGGCCATTTGGACACAGCCTCCAGTGACCACAGGAACTGTAGATTCGGGCTGGTTCAGCCCCTCCCTAGAATGCTGGAGCTTAACTGCATCCAGGTATTTGAGTGAGCAAGGCGAGGGGTTTGTAGCCGATCATGGATCACCACAGGGTGTTTGCTTAGCAATGTCAGATTCACGCAGGGACAGCCCGGCCTGATACTTACATGCTCAGATCAGCCAGAGTCTCTGCTGCGAAGATGAAAGGTTTGTATGTCTCGTGGCAGAGCTGGAAGACACTGAAAGAAGAACAAGGACGTGGCTGCATTTTCCACAAATTCCTCCCGTATTAGCAGGCAGCTGTAACTACCCCCTAGTCAAGAGTGAAGCTAGTGTCCCATTCTTAGCCCCATTTCCAGCCTCCCCTGGGGCTAGCTGGGCTCTGCTGAAACACATGTTCACCCGTAACTTTCAACAGAGCCTTTTCTTTGGGATTTTTAAATTCCCCTCCCCCTTCCCCCGACATTAGTCAAATTCAAACCCATCCGCAATGAGCAGCCTGGAGCGAGCCTTTCCCTCGAGGCAGTTCTCTAAAGTGCCACCTGGTAGATGGCTCTTCGGCACCACGCCCTACAGCGCCTCCTGCTGGGAGAGGGCTGCTTGTTTCCCCTACAGCCAGGGCTCCTGCACCGTTACTCAGCGCCTCCTGCTGGAGAGGCGGGGACTGGAGCAGCTGGGAGCATCTCCCCACACAGAGCTCCTGCACCGTTGCGTACGGCTAGTCCGCTTGGCACCAAGCGCTCCGATGGATGTGCTGCCCTACGGAGAATGCTCCCACGCCATCCCCAGCAAGCAGGCAGCTCCTGGGTGCTTCAGGGTCCTCCTCTCCCGAAGCCGAGGTCTCTGCCCAGCATCTCACGCACTCACTATTTCTTCTTCTGCTCCCGGGTGCTTTCCAGGTCGTAGGTCGACACGTTGATCAGGCCTACGGCTTTCTCGTCCTGAGCGGTGAAACAAGGAGCACGTCACACACAGGGGGCTTTGCTGCCGTTGGCATTTAGAAGCAAGATTCATTTGGTTTTGGGGCATCACGCGGGACTCAGTGGCCAGGAGAGCCACTGTACCAAGAAGAACAAGGAATCTGGTGGTACCTTAAAGACTAACAGATTTATTTGGGCATAAGCTTTCGTGGATAAAAAACCTCACTTCTTCATGAAGACATCTGAAGAAGCGGGTTTTTTACCCACGAAAGCTTATGCCCAAATAAATCTGTTAGTCTGTATCCACAAAAACAACAAGGAGTCCGGTGGCACCTTAAAGACTAACACGGATATCCCCTGATATTTGTGCCAAGAAGGTAAATCAACAACGTGCGGCTTACTCCGGGAACATCATGCTGTCCTTGGAGCCATCCTTGTGGGGAGGGATAGCTCAGTGGTTTGAGCATTGGCCTGCTAAACCCAGGGTTGTGAGTTCAATCCTTGAGGAGGCCATTTAGGGATCTGGGGCAAAAATCTGTCTGGGATTTGTCCTGCTTTGAGTAGGGGGTTGGACTAGATGACCTCCTGAGGTCCCTTCCAACCCTGATATTCTAGGATTGTAATAATAATTCCCAGCTCTTCTTATCTAGCCTTTCCGCACATAGGCCTGAATGCGCTTTACAGAGGAGATCAGGGTCCTCCTTATAAATGGGGTTGGTGGAGTCAGAGGGTGGGGGAAAAGCCCACAAAGCTGGTGCAGGATCCACCTTCTTCCAGCTCTCTCTGTGGGGCTGTTACACCCGCCCACCCCTCTTACACATCACCTCTGAATTTGGCTCACTGAGTTACTGGAGCGTAGAGGAGTCTCATTTGGGGACATGCACCAACTGGGCCAGGAGAGAAGGTGCAGCAAGGACCGCTGCTAACGGGAGGGGCACAGAAATCTCTACCCCCTACTCTAAACTTCTTACGCTGACGTCCAATTCCTCGGCACACCAGCAAGGACTCCCTGACCCATCAGTGGTTGGGCTGACCTAGGCCTGGGGGAGTACACTGGGCTCGGAGCATAGCGAAGTCAAACTTGTCTCACTTTACACGGTCCCTGTAGATTTGTCCCAGGATCTCTGGAGTCCAGCAGCCAACACCCCCTTCCCTCCTGCCCCAAGCCCCCTGAGTACAC